GGCTCAGGCATAGGAACGGTTGTGAGCATGGTCCAGGACCCTCCAGTTCTTCTTTCTGGAGCCAACTTGATGCTGTTAACAACAGCATGGTACTTTATACTCCTGTTAATAAATTCACTTTCTTCTTAATTTAGTTAAAGTGAATTTTACAATACTGCTTGATGTGATTGAACTATGGAAGGTTATGATCTCTAGAAGAGCTCCCGATAAAATTATTGATTAAAATTATTAAAAAATTTTTTAAACACAAAGAAAAAAATTAAGTGAATTTGAGCCAGTCTCTATGGATAGTCAAGTAATATGAGCAAAAAGATAACCTTGGAGGAATTAAATTATTCTAGTTTTATGGGCAAGAATCGTTACCAGCAGGAAGTTTTTGCTTGTTAACCTTATGCCATTAATTTCAATTAATGCAAATTCTTCTTCCTTGTTCCAATTCTATGCTCACTAAGACTTCTCCTATAGGTTTGTTATCATGTGAATGAATGTGCTATGCTAATTTTAAGCATTTTAGTCAGGGTGGCAACTCTAGTGGCACTGTAGGTTAGGTATTGGGATGCTAAGTGCAAGGTTGATAGTTCAACCATCCACATTTCCACAGGAAAAAAAATAAGGCTCTTGTGCTCTCAAGGATTTATAGTCTCTGAAACCCTGTATAGTTGGAATTGACTCAATGGCAGTGAGTTTGGGGTGGTTTTAATCTGTGTAACAATAACTTTTTTTTTTAACTTTTATTTAAAATCGAATTGCTTACAGAAACAAGAATTTGTATAACAGAATATATTTATTTTGAGTAGATACAATTCCAGCTCAGCAGCGTCTCTTGAACTGCCATTAAGGCACTCTAAATAGGGTGATAGTTACATAATTTGGTGTCAACTTGATAGATCAAAATGTACAGGCGGAGTGTAGCCTGTCAATCAAGGTACAGCCTGATGGTGACTCCTTGTGGTCATGGCCTTCTCATAAAAGGAGGGGCCTGTGGGGAGGGTAGAGAGAGAGTGGGTAGGAAAGAAGGAACCGATTACAAGGAACTATATGTGACCTCCTCCCTGGGGGACGGACAACTGAAAAGTGGGTGAAGGGAGACGTCGGACAGGGCAAGATATGACAAAATAATAATTTATAAACTATCAAGGGCTCATGAGGGAGGGGGGAGCGGGGAGGGAGGGGAAAAATGAGGACCTAATATCGGGGGCTTAAGTGGAGAGGAAATGTTTTGAGAATGATGAGGGCAATGAATGTACAAATGCACTTTACACAATTGATGTGTGTATAGATTGTGTTTGTATGAACCCCTAATAAAATGATTTAATTAATCAATTAATTGATTAATTAATTAATTAATTAAAACAAAAAAGGAGGGACCTGGGAACCTCCTCCTATCTCTCTGCCTTCACCTTCCTGCTACCTGACCTGACGGCAGCCAGAGCCCTGGAGATGCATCTACCACCACTAGATTCACAAGACTTTGCACCCACCAACCTGTGATATTCCTGCATTCTGCATCATTACTTGTGACTATGTGAGCCTGAACAGGGAATGATGGACTAGTATTGGACTTATGGGCTTGAGTTGGACTGGGCTGGGATGTTTTCCTGATACACAATTACTTCTTGATATACAGTAAAGCTCTTTCTTACACTTATATGAGTGTCACTGGATTTATTTCTCTCGGTAACCTGGCCTAACACAAGGGGTCAGTGAAAATGGTTCTGTGGTTCATTGTTATGTTAATTTATGAGGAGATAATACAAAAACGTGGGGTAGAATATAGAAGTAATCACCAAGGACAAGCCATACATCATACACAAGCCTCTAGCCAGACCCTGGAGTCCCTATTTCTCAGCACAGAGATAATTTTCCAACAGAACTCAATGCCTAAGGCAAAACACTTGGTTGCTGTGTGACTTGTTGAATAAAGAACTATGGTCTATTATGTAAACTTTCACCCAATTCACAATGAAAAATTAAAAAACAAAGCCCACTATCTTCTAAATTGCTCACTAAGCTATTGTTTGACCTTAAGGTAACTCCAGGAAACCAATGTCGCCAGGATTCAAAAGAACACTTAAGGGCAGAGAGATGGTCTGGGGCTCCCCTCAATTCTGTGAATTCTGAAATGTGTATTCCAGGAGAATCAAACAATTCTGTCATTTCTCTTTTGTCATACACTATTGGGTTGGCATGTTCAGTCTGTTAAGCTTGATTAATGTCTGGTCTTCCCCTAGGACCACTTGAGGTTGATGATAAAATTGAATTTTTGTGCCTGGTCTCTGAGCTCTAGTAAGTATACCAAGGAAGTGCGTGTCATCCTTCAGCACTCCTTGGGAAACAGATTTTGCTTCACACACATTGAATACCTGGATGAAGCTATGTGCATTTGGAAGGGTTAGCTTGGGAATATGTGTTTCAATAGTTATAAATCAATTGTGTGTATGTATTTATGCTAAGGACTTCCTTTCAGGGGGAAGCTTAGGAAGGAAAAAACCCTATCTTATACTTATTTTGAATCTCCTGTTGTGGTTAAATATTCTGAAGACCTTAAGAATGTAATGTGCTCATAGAGGACCTATGAGGATCTGCACGTGCACTACTTAAAATTGGACCCTCTCCAGGGATGGAATTTTTAATGTGCTACCTGTGAGTGCTTTCCTCTGTCGACTTGCAATGGTATAATTGGCAAAGGTGTGTAAAGTATTTAAGGATCCTTAAAACCTTTGGGTGGGTATTTAAATAAGTGTGATTAGCCCATTACTTAATTGATGCAGACTTAATACCTTCCTTTGTTAGAAAACCCTTAGAGGCTCACTTTTTTTTTTAAGGGTAGCTTTTACGTGGAAAGATTAAGATTAATCAAAACTCACTTAAAAGTCTTTTCAATAGTATCTTCTGTACCATATATACTAGAGTATAAGCCGACTCAACAATCAGCCGAGGCACCTAATTTTCCCACAGAAACTGCATAAAAAATGTGCCAAAAAACTTGGCGTATACACGAGTATATATGGTAACGACTGGCTATGGAGTGGTTGCTAACCAACACAAAGCTAATTCAGAAGCTCTCTTTAAGAACATTTATGTATGAGCCCTTAATAAAATGATTAAAAAAATTAATTCATGTAGGACAAAGGATGAAAGTGATAAGACTTTGACATTACACTCAAAATAAATAAAGGAAGACAGCACACATTCTAAGGGGAAAGAAAACATTTATGGGAGAATTGAATTTTTTGTGTGTGTGCATGCTCTGATATGATTTATCATTGCAGAATTATAAATTATTTAAAACTATGATCACTTACCTAGAAGAAAGCTAAATAAAGATGGAAAAATACTTTACCAAA